TCTCCACCGTTTTCGCCCGTTAAAACCATCGGAGGTACATTTGTTGCGTACTCCCGGATTAGTGCTGAAACTCCCACGCAATCAGGGAGTACGAAACAAATCCGCTATGTACCTCCGATGCTTCTAACGGGCGAAAACGGTGGAGACAGTCTTTATGATTCTCGCCATGTCCGCGGCAAAACAACTCTTTCGGTACCCCGTGCGATTTGGGAAGGATGTCAGTCAACATGGCCAACACAGACCCTGCGGTCGCCGTCCCCAGGTTCGGCGTCAGCGGAGTGGTGAGGCGATCGCCACGCGAGATGTGGTATCTTCGATGACCTTCTGCCTCGTGGGCGACTCTCCCACAGCCTTCCCGATATCTTGCGCTGCCCCCAAACCCGCACGCAGGTCGTACCACGTATTCGTACGGTCGGTGTTACGCGTGACTTCAGGGTCTTATTTTAATGCTCATATGATGTCTATCTGCAGGATTTTCTTGTACCTGTTTGCGCGTGGTGCTCTCTGATGCGCCCAACTTTGCTTCGGGGTCGCCGATTGAACCGATTTCTGTCGTTCTTTCGGCTCCCGAACGGGAAGAATGTACCAAGCACGTCCCGCGCGTATCGCACCATGCGGTGCGCTGCGTCACGAGCTACCCGCGCTGGACTGCCGGCATATTGTTCCGGAAATCAAACATGTTTGGTTCTCTCTGGGTTCTCTTTTCCGGGGGTTCTGTGTGACGTCATGAAGCAGGTGGTCAGGATGACGCAACACGGAGGCACAGCAGCAAGCCACAACTTGTAGCATACCGCAGCATGTCTCTACCTCGCTCACATCTCGCAGCAATCTCTACGCCTAACAACTTGCAGTCTTTCTTTCGTTTTTCTTGCGGCTCCCGGACGGGAATATTGTACGCAGCGCTCCCCGCGCGAAGCGCGCCCTGGGGTGCACTGCTGTGCCTTGACAGCTACCCGCACGGATACTTTCTTCGTTCCCAAGGAGTAGATACGAAGCACTTTCTTTCTTTCTTTCTTTCTGTCGCTCCGATGTGTGCAGTACGTATCTCGGAACAATTGATGTACCAGCAGGTAATCCCTGCCCTGCGTAGCATACACGTGCTCATCACATTCGTCCACCTTGTGAACGCTTACGCGATGCTACAAAAGCACTTCATCAGAGCATGCACCGTGTGTTTTGGACTACTGCTGTGTGTAGTGCTGCTGCTGTAGACCCACCACCTGCAATGCTTGCAAGCTGGGAACCATCTCTTCAATAAAATGGGGAAGAAAAAACGCAGCTTGCCTGGTTCCGAGGCTCCCCCCGAACGACCGTCTGATGTTGCTGCTGCTGTATGTAGCCCCGCCACAGCAACAGCAGCCACAGTTTCACACAGAACATGGTACATCATTTTGGCACACGCAGACGCAGAGTGGCCGTCTCGTGTTGATGTGTTCCCCGGGATTCAGTGCTGGAATTTCAACCATTGCAGCACCTTGCCGCACATGAGAGATCACACGCCTCAGCCGTGACGCACCTGCTTTTTTTTATTCTCCGACTGCGAACCTGCGTGAACCTACATCGATGTTTCTTTTATTGCTGTTGACGTGTATGTATGTATGTCAATCTACTGCTCACCACACTTCCTTTGACCCTCGATCTCTGCACACTTCACCACTTGTCGATGTTGTTGTCAACAAAACTTCAAACTTCCGTAGTTACGCGAAGACCGCCGTCCCGTGGGGGGCGGGCGAAGCACCCCTTGCGGTATCCATGATCCTTGCGGAAGTCCTTTGCATCCTCGCTTCTTCACTACTTATCTTGCAAATGGTGTTGTTGGTGCCGAGATCTAGTGGATTGTTTACTGGGACTGGTGTCAAGGCTCGCCTCTTTGTCTTGCGCTCTCGTTTCAAGCACCTCGTCCTCCGTGCTCTGGACAAGGCCGTTTGGCTTTAGTTTCTGCCCACGGGACGATGTTGGTCGTGAGTTCCATCTGTATTCAAGCAAGGATCCTTCGTGCGTGTATTTTTAAAACATATGTATCCATCTTTTACACCGATCTTTTCCGGCGGTCTTCCTCTCTTCTGGCACTCTCTCTGGCTTTCTCTCATGTGTCTCTCTCTCCCTCTCCTTCCGTGCTACCCTCCTTTGGTCGCACAGCAATCACGTCTAGCCATCAATCCTTCTCAATATGGTACAACATAATCGTGAATGTGTGAGAATATGTGCCCCCCCCCCCCCCCCCAATTTTCCCCTTGAAAAGGGGTTCCCGGGAAAAGTAACCCTAACTGTCCAAATTTCCAAGGGACACGGGGGGGGTGAAAAAACCCAATCCAATCCAGGGGTCCCAACCCGGGGAACCTC